CCTGTCATAAGGTTCTTACAGAGTTGTTCCTGTTTGTTTGTTGTCTTTCTTTGGGTTTTGGAGTTGGTTCGTGTGTGTTTTTAATCTTTTGCCTGTACTCTTGTGAAGAATGCTGTTGTTCTTTTTTCTTTTTCTTCTGTGTTCAGTACTTTCGTAAGTGTTTCTTGTAGAGGTGGTCTGGTGGCAGCGTAGGTTCTTAGGGATTGGATGTCTGGAAAAGATTTCAATTCTCCCCCACTAATGAAGCTTAGTTTGGCTGGGTAGGTTATTCTTGGTTGAAATTGTTTCTCTTTTAGAACTTTGAAGATAGGGCTCCAGGCCCTCCTGGCCTGAAGGGTTTCTGTGGATAAGTCTGCTGTTATTCTAATTGGTTTTCCCTGGTAGGTAGTCTGGCCTTTTTCTCTTGCTGCCTTTAGGATTTTTCCTTTCATAGCTACTTTGTTTAGGTGAATTATTATGTGCCTGGGAGTTGGTCTTCTCATTTGTTGTCTTGCAGGGGTTCTCTGAATGTCTTGTGTTTGAATTTTTTCATCCTTAATGAGTTGAGGGAAGTTTTCTTGAATGATTTCATGAAATGTTTGTTCCAGTGTGGCTTCTGTTTCTCTTTCTGCCTCAGGAAGCCCAATTACTCTTAGGTTTGGTCTCTTAAAGTGATCATTCATCTCTTGCAGGTTTTGTTCTTTTTGAGCTTCTTTTCTATGATTTTGACAGTTTGGGTTAGTTCTGTGTTCTGGTCTTCGAGCTCTGAGATTCTTTCTTCTGCTTGGCTGATTCTGCTTTCCATGCTTATTAGTCTGTTGTTCATTTCCATCACAGTATTCTTTACTGCTGTCATTTCTGACAACAGCTCCTTCCTATTTTCCTCTTGTCTCTCCTCAATTTTTTAAATTCTCTCCATTAATGTCTTGATATCTGGGTTTATTGCATGTAACCAGTCATTCTGGGGACTCTTCATTGTCTGTGTTCCAGAATCTGTTTTTTCAGTGTCTGATTTCCCAGGTGTCTGTGTAAGACCTATATTCTTCTTTTGGTTTTTCTTCATTTATGTGGTTTTTCCCCCTCCCTACTTTTTCCTTCCCTCCACATCACCATCTTCTTTAATTCTGTTATTCAGGGGTAAAGGGATTGGTTTTACTTCTGTTTGTTCAATCTCCTATTCTTTATGTATGTCCTCTTACTTTGTTCAATTCTGAAGTTGCACTGTAGGTTGGAGGTGGTCCTTTTTGCAGTTTTGAGATGTACTTAAGGGGAGAACTGTGATTCAAAATCTGCCTTCAGGTCCTGGTATTTGCTGACAGGCATGTGGATAATGTGGAACCCACTTCCCACTGCCCTGGAATCTGTCCATGCTGTGGAGCTGTAGGTTTACTCCCTGAAATAAAATGTGGTTAGCAGAGGGGAGAGAATGGAGCAGATAGTGGGTTGAAGAGGGGAGTAGAGAGATAGAGGAGTAAGGGGGAAACAAACGAGTGTGCCAACAAATAGAAAGAGAGGCCTATACTGAGACAGATAAAAACAATAGACCACAGCTACAGACAAACCAACTGTCATACAAAAAAATAAAAAATAAAAATAAAACATATAGTGATGCTAACATACAAGTTAGCCAATCACCTTGTTAGTGTGCTGTTCCTCTATACAAAGATATGGCTTACAGAGAGAAGAAAAGGAAAAGGAAAAAAGAAAAAAGGGACCAATACTGTAGGAATAGAATTAAGTCATTAAACTTATAGAATCAATGAAGCACACTCTGAGACATTTCGTTTAAGTCCAATGTCCTTTCAGGTCTGATTTCTAGTTTTATTTTCAAGCTGGTAAATTAGTTTGCAGTTAGGGTCAGTTGCCCCTGATCTGCTGTGAAGGACAGTTCCGATTAACCTCCGTTCAGCAATTTGGTCTATGTGTTTATCAAGCTTGTTTCTCCCGTTTTGGTGTTGTTACCTTGGACCGCCAGCAGGTGATGCTATCTCAGCTGCTCGCCCCAGAGGGGGTGGGGCTGGACAGGAACAAGATGGCTGCCTGCCTCCGAGCAGGCAACAGGAATCCCACGCCGGTAGGGCAGGACAGTCTCGGATCCAGGAGAGGTGGCAGCGAACCCCGCAGATCTTCCCTGAAGGGTTTGGTGTGGATCTCCTTGGGCCCGGGTGGTGTGATGTGCTACCCATCACAGAGGCTGCGGCGGTGGTGGCGGCGATGGCAGCGGCAGCGGGGGAGGGGCTGCGGCGGTGGCGACTCTTTGCAGTGCAGTAACTGTCCAGTTGTTGCGATGTTCCAGCGGTGGCAACGGCTGAGCTCTGTCTGAAGAACAGGTTGCGATTCTGGGGTCCCCAGCCCCCCGGGGCGAGAGTCAGAGACCCACTGCAGATCTCCCTTGCAGAGGGCTTCAGACACCAGGTTGCCCCGTCACCATCTTGCCGCATCTCTCCTGGTGATGATTTTTAAGATACAACTCCCAAAGCATAATTAGGAAAGAAAAAAAGGATGACGAATTGGATTGTATTAAACTCAAAAACTTTCCTTCTACAAAAGACACAGAAGAACTTACAGAAGCTTTTTGTTTCTAATACTCTTGTCTAATAAAAGTACGTAGGGCTCTTGGAATAACAGCCTAATCTCAGAGCTGGAGCAAAGTCTACACAAAATGAGCCTACAGTGTATTATGCCAGAAAGTAAAGAAGGGCTGAATGTAAAACAAAGGAAACCAAATGTCCCATACAGGAATGGAGCATGCCAAAGGGCTCAGCAGTCAACTGTAAGAGCTCTCAATGGGCAAAGTCAGAACAATTTGAAGGACAAAATAAATAACATAGTATTAGATTATAACACAAAGTAAACAGTAATAATGAATTCATACTCCTATAAAAAGTGATTAAATTAATAAATGGAGAAGAGACATATTTTCTCTGCAGATGAATTCCAAATGATTTATGGAGACACTCCATTCTCAGTATGGGACTGAGGGAAGAGATAATTCTCCACCATTAATTGCTGGGTGTGCATGGTGACTTCCTTCCAAAAAGTACAATATAGAAAGAAAAAAAAAGAACAATTAAAATGGATAAACCTGACAGACATTACCTCAGCCAGGTGAGGTGATCAGGGTGCATACCCACAGTGATGTCATGTTTGTGATATGTTTGCCATCATATGATGACAATGACACCTTACCTCTGATGTCTCTCTCCCCAAAACCCACAACTCCGTTTTAATAAGAAAAGAAAACAAACACCAATTCAGTATTGTTCTACAAAATGTCTCTCAATTACTTCTCAAAATTCTCAGTCATTAAAGACAAAAAAAAGTTTAAGATAAACATGTCAACTAAACATAATAAGGTATCCTGGAAAGGATCGTGGAACAGTAAAAGGACATTAGGTAAACTAAAGAAATCTAAATAGCAAGCGAACACTAGATAATAATGTATCAACACTGGTTTAGTAATTATTACACGTATACCATACTAACGTAAGATGTTAATCATAAGGGAAATTGGGTGTGGGGTGTTTGGAAATCTTTTTACTATCTTCATAACTTTTCTGGAAATCCAAAACTCTTCTAAAATAAAACTTTTACTTAAAAAAAAAATTACATTTGAATCCCAGCCTCACAATTAGTTTAGTAAACTTGGGCAAATTATCTAACTTCCCAAGCTGCAGTTTTCTTAACTGTAAAGTAGGAATAATAGTACCTACCTCATTGGTTTTATGAAGATTAGACAAAATAAAGCATAAAACACTGACTAAAGTGTCTGCCCCACAATAAATGCTCAAAAAATACTGGTGACAAAGCAATACTTCTCTCAAAGTATATTTGCACTTGAAAAGATTATCACATGTTCTCACTCATAAGCGGACCTTGAACAATTGTCATAATACTATAAGAAAAGGATTGGCGGTAGTGGGAAACTGCCAAGGGGTGGGGGGTGGGGGTGGGATTGGCAATAGTGGGAATCTGCTGGGGTGGGGGACATACCTCATCAACAAGGGTACCTGCATAATGAACATTTGTATACCTAACCCTGAATTGTACCCCACATCTTTAAAATTAAAAAAACTTTTTTTAAAGAAAGAAAGAAAAGATCTCAGAAAGAGACTGAACTTTAACAAGCAGTTGCTGTGCCTGGCTATCAATAGGACAGCTACCACTGGTGGACTTTCTTTAGGCAGAGAAGAGATCTCATTAAGAAAGGAGGACAGGCATGGTGGCTCAAGCCTGTAATCCCACACTTTGGGAGGCTGAGGAGAGACGGTTGCCTGAGCTCAGGGGTTCAAGACTGACCAGCTTGGGCAGCTTGGTGAGACCTCATCTCTATAATAAATCAAAAAATTAGCCAGGCGTGGTGGTGCGCACCTATAATTCCAGCCACTTGGAAGGCTGAAGTGAAAGGATTGCCTAAGCCCAGTAGGTTGAGGCTGCAGTGGCCATGAGCATGCGGCTGCACTCCAGCCTGGGTGACAGAGTGAGACTCCAACTCAAAAAAATAAATAAATAAAGGAAGTAAGTAACACTCTTTACAGTAGACTTTGGAGATACTCTTACCAATGCAAAACCAAGCAAAGAACAACATTTTGCTGAGTGAAAAAAGGTCAGATTTTGCCAGAAGTTCATCTGGCTGGTGAGTAGGAGGTTATTATTATTATTATCATTATAATTTATTTTAAAGATGTAGGGTACAATTCAGGGTTAGGCATACAAATGTTCATTATGCAGGTACCCTTTGTTGATGAGGTGCACCCCTCCAGCAGTTTCCCACTACTGCCAATCCCTTTTTTACAGTTTTATGATAATAGTTCGAGGTCCACTTATGAGTGAGAACATGCGGTACTCAGTTCTTTGTTTCTGTGATAGATCACTCAGTATTATACACTCTAAGCATCCATCCAAGTTGCTGAGAAGTTCATAATTTTGTCCTTCCTTATGGTTGCATAATATTCCATTGTGTATATACACCACACTTTTTTCTATCCAGTCCTCTTTCAATGGGCAGCATGGTTGGTTCCATGTTTTTGCTATTGTGAATAATGCTGCAATAAACATGTGTGTGCAGGTATCTTTTCCAGAGTGATTTGAGTTCCTCCGGGTACAGTCCCAGCAGGGGAAAGAAGGGGGATCTTTAGATCTTTTAGGAATCACCACACTGTTTTCCACAGAGGTTGTAGTAGTTTATACTTAGACTTATATGATGGTCATCTTGACTAGAGTTAGGTAGTATCTCAGTGTGGTTTTAATTTGCATTTCTTTGATGACTAGGGAGGCTGAGCATTTTTTCATATATCTGTTGGCTGCTAGTATGTCTTCTTTTGAGAAGTGTCTATTCATACCTTTTGCCCACTTTGTAATGGGCTGCTTGTTTTTTTCTTTTTGGCACATTTTGAGTTCCTTATAGATTCTAGATTTTAGGCCTTTGCCAGATATACAGTTGGCAAATATTTTTTCCTATTCTGTGATCTGTCTCCCCACTCTCTTGACGGTTTCTCTGACTTTGCAGAAGCTTGTCAATTTGATGAGTTTCCACATGTCTATCTTATCTCTAATGGCATGGGCACTTGGGGTTTTGATCAAGAATTGGTTGCCAGTTCCAGTTTCCATAAGGGTGTCTCCTGCATTTTCTAAGGTTCTTATAGTTTGAGGTTTTACATTTAGGTCTGATCCATGTAGAGTTTTGTGTGTGGTGATATGTAGCAGTCTTGTTTTAAGCTTCTGCACGTAGTCAGTCAGTTTTCCCAGCACCATTTACTGAATAGGTTTTCTTCTCCCCAGTGGTTGGTGGCTTTGTCGAGGATGAGTTGGTTGAGAAATTGAGGTGTTGCTTCAGGAATCTCTATCCTGTTCCATTGGTCTATATACCTGTTCTTGTACCAACACCAGACTGTTTTGATTTATTATAGCTTAATAATAAAGTTTAAAGTCTGGGAGTGTGATACCTCCTGCTTTTTTCTTTTCTTTTTTGGCCAAAAATTGTTTTGGTTATTCGTGGCTGTTTATGTTTCCATATAAATTCCTGTATTGTCATTTTCAGGTCTGAGAAGAATGCTGCTGGTAATTTAATGGATATTGTGTTAAATCTGCAGATTGCTTTGGGTAGGATAAACATCTTAATAGTGTTGATTCCTCAGCATTTCCTGGATGCATTTACTGCAGTCAAGTATTGGCCCTGCAGGTTTAGAAAATGTCAGTCTCTCAGATCTGGTGACACTTACTGAGACTGCCTTGCAATGTTCAAACTGAAGCATATAAATTAGAGGTCGACTTGTTGAATTACCATAAGAACTGCAACTTTCAAATGCTAAATTTTCATATGAGCCTGAGCAATCCATTCTTTCCCTCTAAGAAGAAAAATTCATTTGAACAAAGAAAATGATTTTGGGGCCTCAAATATTCTGTAGAGACTAACACTTCCATGTGTATGCCAAATCCGCAGACTGGTGCACAAGCAGTGCTACCAGCTTTCCTTTTCTAACTTTATTCGTCAATGTTGCCTTGCATTTTAATGAATCCTTTCCCTGGATATCTTAATATCACTCATCCAGCAACACTTTGCATCTTAACTCAGCCAGGTAGCAGCATGGTCTCTAGAATGGAAAAAACTTTTCAGTCACTCGATTATAAGATAATTTTCTAGAATGCTTCTTCCATAATGGCATTTTCAAAACATCTTGTTTTTTAGAGTCTTATTATGCCTTAGTGTATTCCATGTTTACTACCTAAGTCAATACATTCACACATTTGAAAATTCTCACTGACTGTGAGAATAATATGGATTTGCAGATATTGTGACTGTTCGCACATATGCTGGTTTTCCTCCTTCCCTTAAGAATACGGTAGGATTGCAGTCTCTACCTCCTTGAAGGGATGCATGACCACTGACCTGATTGACTAAAGAAATGAGTAGAAGTGAAATGTGACACTTCCAGGCAGGAGTCTTGAAATTTCAGGCACGGCTGGTCACACTCACTTTCTGCCACAGCACCTGGTGATGCTCCAGGTAGTAGAGGCTTCATCAATCTTAATTCCAAACTCATGGAACAGATTCTCTACCCATTCATGATGGACATGTCATGTACATGAGAAATTCCTCCCTCTTGTCTTAAGTCACTGAGCATTTGCAGTTATTTATGTACTATAACCTAAGTTGTTCTGACTAACATAAAGATGAAAATGTCGAGAGTGTCCCCTGATGACATCTGGTTTTACTT